TACCTTTATTTTGTTACATGAAAGTCTTTTGTATTTAACTGATAGACTAATATAATTCAAGTAGGTAGCTGTGTTAGCATGTGTAGGTTGCAAGAAAAGAAACGTTTCAGCTATGGAACCTACTTCAGGTGGGACCTTCACACCTGATGAAGGTTCCACAGTTAAAATGTTGTGCCTCTTTTCTTTTCCTTTCAGCATGGAATACTCCTTTACCTATTGCTTTGCACACTAATTTAATTTCTTCAGTATCTCAAATTCAATAAAAGCTGTACAAACCAACCCCTCAAATTGCATAGACACTGCTGTGAGTGACACTGCCGACTGGCTTCACCACATGTTTCTGTTCCCTTTGACCCACCTGGCATTAACTTCTGAGCGAACACCATGAGTAGCACTGCAGTTACTGTACTAGCTCTGCCAGAACTCAAGAAAGGCACTTGGCTTGAGCTGCACTGAGAGAGAAGGGTGGAGCTTGCTTTGCTGGGTGCTGTTTGTTCATGTTGGCATACTTGGTGCTTTCTCTCCACTTGTCCTCCATCCTCCCCCTTCCTCCCTCCCCACTAGTCCTCTTGTTGTCTTTTGCTAGTGGTTCTGTTGTATAGCATGTGTTGAGTCCCAAAATATTTAAATACTTCTTGTGTAAAATGTATATTTGTTATTTTGTATTTGCTGTTTGTGTAGCTTCTCAACCCCTCACTATACAGGACAGTGGCTCATTCTAGATGTTAAAGGTCATCCTGTTGGTAACGCATTCATATAGCTGAAAATAATATAAATATCTGTGCTATAATTCTCTTAAGCAGTGACTCTTCATTTTTTTGTGAAAAATTTTACTCAATGTAAATTCCTCTATCTGACCTTTTTTAAAAAATCCTTATACAAATATGTTATTAGTCCCATAGGCTACATCATTGTATTATTTTTTGTGTAAGTATATTGTATCTGAAAATGACAGGAACAGAAAAGAAATTATTTGGAATTCATCACCAAAATTTTTCAAAAGAGTTGAATGAAATAGAAGGTAAGTAAAGTACACCTCGACTTGGAAACCAGAGTTGTTTTGAGAGATCTTTTACTTAGTTTATAGAAGTCTTAATTTTAAAATGTTTTTCCTTTTATGTATCATATAATTGTAACTTTTTTACTGCTTTTTATATTGTTAATCTATTTGTAAATGCCATTTACTGTGAGAAAGGATTATTATCTCTTAACACATCTTTATAAAGCACAGATTGCTGTGAGCCTGTTCCAACTTTAAGAAAGACTTCAAGATTGTACTGTGTATTGGGTTACTGAGCTTTTGCTTCAGTTTTACATGTTGTTATTTCTGTTTTCTTTGTATCAAAAAGCATTTTCAGAACTTCTGATGCCTTTATGTAACTTCTTTGACTCAAAGAGCAAAATATGATTCTCCTTTTCTCTTTCTCTCTTTCTTACACTCATGCTATGATCCATTGGTGCTTAAGATTTGCGAGCTTCTCTGTTTATTACAAATCTTTTGTTTTTGTCCATGCAATAGCTCCACTATAGGTTGGAAGGGCTTAAAGATGAACTCAGGACGCATAGAAGCTACGACTCGCGAGTAACTATTACAGACCAAAGGAGCTGCTCCCATTCGCAAACCTCGCTTTGCGCTATGAGTTTAAGCTCCTTGCTTATTTCTCTCTTTCTTCCTCAGCAATGTCTCACCTCTAACATTTTTTTATTAGCTGTATGGTGTGTTTGTTGGGTCACTGTGTTTGTCTCCAGTTTTCTGTTCACTAGAAGCAGCAGTAGACGTGCTTTCCCAGCTATAGGACTCAACCATACTGTGCCTCACTTGTTTCATTTTTCAGGCAGCGTTAATTTAATTTGATGTTTGTGTCCTTTTTTTCTGTTTTTACATCTTAAAATATCTCAAGACAATGCTCTACGCTAGACTGTGGTGTCATTTCTCCTTTTAGGCCAGTGATGTTGGGGAAATACATTTGAAAGTTATTTACTGCTGTAGCAAGCAGGATACTTGGTCTTCTAAGAGGATACTTAGAGAAATCGATTTTTGCAAGTATTAAGTAGGTGTATCAACTTTCCCAGACACCAAAGGCGTCTAAATTTTAGAGAGTAGAGAGCATAGTGTTGAAGCGCAGAATGTCTTACAAACACTAATAACAGGGCTTGTAAATGACTCAACAGGTGCAGGCCACTGTTGGTATAGGGCACAGGTTGGGTACTATATCCCAGAGATTAAAGGTTCAGATTTGGGTTGTGTCATCTACTGAATTCAGACTCCTCCAAAGGTCTCTGTACAATTGCCCAAGAACTTACACTGTAGGGAGGGTTCAAAATTAGCCAGGGATTCTTCGGTATACTTAGCAATAGTAACCTTTGTGACTTATAAAAGTGTCAACCTCATTTTTAGGTTGCAGTATTATTAGGGTATTATTAAAATTGTGTCACTTCTCTATCTGATGCTGATTGGCTCTGCTATTAATACAATGAATCTCATAGTGCATACAGAAGCAATTGTGCTGATATGTATGAGATTTGTGACTGTGAGCTAAATTGATCAACAATTTAAGATTCTTAATGATGAATTGTATACTGTATACAGAGTCTTATATTTCCAACAAGCAGACACCAACAATATCTACATCTATTTGTGCTAATTTGCCTAGTATAAATGATGTCACCGACACAGCTTTGACTCCTGTTTTTGGGGGTGGTGGTCTGATCAGGATACCCTAGCTGGAGACCACAATCTAAATCTTCTGTTTTTTCTCAAGACCAGGTTTGGGCACCATCAATACTTTTGCTGTTGCCCTTTATTGAAATACATATTTCATTACAAGTTATGAAACTCTGCTTCAATCACTATGCCTTGAGACCTGTGCTCCTTCAGTCACAAACTGTACAGATCCACCACAGTTGGTATCACATGTAATCACTATTGCATTTTTGGTTATGTTATCTGAAAACAAAGGCCTCTGATTTGTCCATCTTTATTCTCAAGAGGTTTGGTTTTTAAACCTCATTGAGTAATTTCCTAGATAGTGGGGGGAAGTCATCACCTCTGTTGTCATGGAAAGCAGATTAATTTTTCTTTTGCATATTTATCCAAATCCCACAACTATGTACAGTTTACAGTCCTCTTTTCATTGCTTGAAGTAAAAAAAGTAAAATACGATGCTCAGCTTTTGGTAGGCAATGAGATTCTAACAAAAAGGATTTTCATACTCTATTTGGATGAGCAATTGTAGTGATACACTGTGTCACTGTAGTTTGTATTGAAACCAATTGAACAGTTTCTGTCAACAGCAAGCAAGTAAACAAGAAAAATGATTTTGCAAAAATGTTAAAGAAAACTTTTTAAAAAAGTCAATTTATTGTGTTTGCATCATATTGTTTTCACAGCTGGCTATCAGGATGCAAAGTGCCACATCAGCAGCTGCTGTACACTAATCAGAAACAGCACAGAGGCCTGTGTCAGTTTTGGGGTGTGCTTGCATTCCTGGAATGTGCCAGGTTATTGTCATTGACACATGTCAGGAGATCTCACCAACTAGTGTGTGCTCTTGAAAGCTCCTGACTTTATGACAATTGTGTTGAGTAGAAGTTATATATTGTGAAAGAGACATTCAAAACAAATCAGAGTATGAATATCTTCTTTATTGGTGTATCGATTTCCTATCAGATGTTGAGTGGTGCATTTCTTTCTGAATGTGTCTTTGTTCCAGTTGTAGTCAGGCATTCTCCTGGTTTTTAAAATGCACATTCCTGTGGAAGAGGGGTTTTTACTACAGTAATGTTCCTGGCCTAAAGGGAAGTCCATTATTAGTAGTATTATTTCATTTAGTTTTTTTAATATTTCTTTTCTTCTAGGAAAGGAAGTTCATGAGCCACTGTTCACCTGCAGCATTCCCCTCATGTGTTCCTTCATTAGCTGACTACAACATCTGAACTAGAACATGCTTTAGTTTACCACATCCACAGGCTTCCGCAATTAGAGTTCCAGATATTGTTGCTGTCAAAAATTGAATTGGCCTGCATTCTGTCTTCTTTGAAGTCTAATGAATAGAGCATACTATTGCATTTCTATTAAAACTAAAGAGGAGGCCATGAAGGAAACAAACTGTGAGATGTAAGAATCAGACTTGAAATGCCTGACAAGGCATAGTTAGCTGCAATTTTATATACAGTCTAGGATCATTATCAGAAGTACATTGCTGTAGGTGCACTTGACTTCTTATTTATGGCGTATACTCCAATTAACTTTGCTGTGCATTCCAGTTAATGCTTGGGTGGGCAACAACAGTTCTTGGACTTCATAAGAGTCCATAAATCCATAAATTAACTGTATACTGGGATTGTGGTAGTTCAGGTGGGAAGCTGCGTCCACAGCTACGTTTTAGCTGTGGAGCCTTTTTCGGGTGTAAGCCTTACACCCTTACACCCGAAGAAGGCTCCACAGCTAAAACGTTGTGTTTTCTTTCTTCTCTTTTCAGCATGGAATAAACCTATTACTTGTTCCTACTGGGATTGTGGCAAACTGTCCCTTTTAATAGCAGTTGTGACTTCAGGCAATAGGTTTGAGAAAGTATTGGGAGAAAGCTTTGTTTGATTTCACTGCCAGAAACGTACCAGTGTAATTAAGAAAAAAGGCCTAATGCTTACAAATTCATAGGTAGTGAAACTCACATCTTAGTTACCAGACTTCTTCCTAAGTGGCTTCTTTAATGTGTTTGTTTAATGATTCAGAAATATAATGTATTAAATTAGTATATGCTCTTATTCAGGTCAGTTTGGAAACAAAGTAAATCATAATAATAGTAATGGAGACAAGTTTCAAAAATTATTTTCTACCCCTATTCATTATAATTAACAGGATAAATATGCTGTATTACAACCTCATCCTACTCCATAATGCTGGATAATTCTAATCTCTGAAGCCTGCCAGGAGAGCTAATCTGTCATTGTCTGTAGAGGGGTTTTCATCTCACATCACTTCTGTTTTTTCTCTGCAGGTGCAATCCCGGTGCAGCAGCAAAGAAAATATCCTTAGAGCAAGTAAGTACATGAGATAATAAACATTAGCCACAGGCTCTCTTCCAAGACAAGGTCAGAACTAGAGTCACATCTGGGTTTCCTTTTCAATGCCCTTCAATTAATTTACAATATACAATTGAAATGTTTGCAGTTGATTTTCAAGTTTGAGTTGGGGAATATATGTGTTGTGTGACTTTTTTCTTATAATACATTAAACTTTGGAATTTTTGGTGTCTTGGATTTGGAGTTTTAAGCTTTTGTTTGGAATTGTTCTGGTTTTGGTTGTGCAGTGTGAAGTTTCAGTACATTTATTTTAATACCTTTTAGGAAGCTTGGCAATAATATTCATGTCTCGATAATCATATATTAATGTATTCAACATTAACAAAAAAACATAAAAAATAAAGTTATGTTTGAGCTTTTAAATTAATCTTAGACACTGACAATGTAGTATTTTTTAGCATTGCACTGAAAACAAAATAGTGAGCCCCAATGTGCATTTGAAAGCTTCTTAGTGTAGTCCTCAGTGTCCACCGCCAATTTCATTGCACAATGTATAGGAGCATTATTAAGTGAAAGAGTCCATGCTTGTGTGTACTAATAACATAAGCACCTTCTCTTTCACTACCTCAAAAAGGATGATTTTTCAAACTCACATTTTATTTAATCATTAACAAATCTAAAGCACTTTTCTATGTAACATTTAACTTACTATGCTTTGAAGTGTCCGCTGTGAGAGTCTTTAGGTGTAGTGATGTCTATGGGATATTAACACAGCATAGCTGTAGAACATGACTTTCCTTGCCCAGAATCATCATCACAGGCCTTGACTGCACTATAGAAGTATTTAATTTGATACTTCATCATTCAGAGCTCCTTTTGTTATGTTTGTAAGGAAACAAAAAATAGGAAGGATTTCCTTAGACAAGGTGATTTATTTCCTTCTGCAACTACAGAGGGGTTTATATTATAAGATCCTACAATATTCAGTTTCAATTCAATTATGTTAATAACCATTCTTTATTCTTTGGGAGACACGTAATCTGTCAAGCCACTGTCAAATCTTTGCAATGATCTCCAAGAACAAGTACAGATTTTCTAGACACGACAGTGGCTATAGACCAATTGTATCTAACAACATCGTCTGAAACAGGGGACTCTGCAATGTGTCATTTCAGGTTGTCTTGCTGCAGCACTCTGTATAAAACTGTAAGTGCACATGAGACTATAAGCATAGAATTTCACTGATCTTGTGCCAAAAGTCACAGTGCATTGAAGAACACACCTGATTCTGCAAAAGTGGCTACATCATCAGACAGTAATTAAACAGTAATATGGAGTGCTCACAAAATAAATTGGTGTGTTCTTCACACTATGCAAAGGAACAGGTAAAGGTTTATTCCATGCTAAGAGGAAAAGAAACACAACCTATTGGCTGTGGAGCTTTCTTCAGGTGTCAGACACCTTAAGAAAGTATCAGCCTTCACACCTGAAATTTTTCTTTTATTTTGTTTATACCATGGTATAAACCTGTTCCATTCAATTTAGTATGCATTCATACAGGACTTTGAGAAATTTCCATAAAGAGCACATGTCATGTGAACAACTTTTTGTATCACTGATATCTTTTACTGTCTGTCCACTTTCAGGGTATGTTGGAATGTGGTCCCCATGGTCCAATTTGTATATGTACTGTAATCTATTTAATTGTTTTTTGCTTTGGCAAGTTAAGTTTATAAGCATACGTTATAAGCTTACAGTATGTTAAGTGCCATGTGTATTTTTAAATGAATATCTAAAAAATGTATATGTTAGCATACATTAGTTTTTTATGTTTCTTTGGCAAGCATGTAATTTCAAGCATGTTATAGTTAAGATATTGTTGCTTTTGAACTAGTCCAGAAAAGAACATTCAGATACGTTCCTGGCCTTAACGGAATATCCTATGCTAAGAGGCTGAAGGAACTGACTTTTTTGGCCTTGACCAAAGAATATTACAAGGTGCATGTACTTAGAATCTTTAAAAACATTGACATAGACAACCTAACCTGTTTCTTAAGAATGACAAGCAAAACATACAGTAAATCAGAGGACACAAGTGGTAAATATGTGGAAGTGCATTTAAAACTGACAACAGGACTCACTTATTTATTCAGACAGTTGTGGGAGTTAAAAACAAGCTACACATCCATACTCTGATACTTCCTGTTTTTGAAGCTTATACCCTGACCTCTTTCCAGAAATGAGTAATAGGTTTTTTCCATGCTGAAAAGAGAAGAAAGAAAACACAACGTTTTGGTCCTGTCTTTCTCACACCTGAAGAAGGCTCCACAGCCAACCTGTTTTCTTTTGCTCTCTTTTCAGCATGGAATAAACCTATTAATTGTTCCTTTGCAGCCTACACATGCTGACGGAGCTACCCACCTGAACTACTTCTTTCCAGAAATGACTGGGTCAATTAGCTATCTACAAATAAATGAGCTAGTTGGCCTGACTGGCCTCCTGTCATAAGTAACCTTTCTTGTGAAGTGACGTCCAGAGCAGAAGTGATATTTAAATGCTTGTTTAAGGACTTTTAAGAGTGTATATTCATCGAGGGGAGACCATCTTACAATCTCTGTCAACTGCCATGCTTTCCGTTAAGTCAAACTCAACCCAATTTTTAATACAAAAGTGAATACAAACTGAACTCTATGTAAGGCATTTTCTCACTGGATCCAATCCATAATTTTCTTCCATCATCCAAAAAGGTGTTTTAAAATGTCATCCAGGGCACACTGGATGTAATAAAAACATGTAGCAAAAGTTTGAGGTAATTACAGGTTGACACAAACATGGACAAACAACTGTTGTGAATTTATGGCAGATTTCATTATGATTGTTGTTGTTATTCATGTCAAACCCCATGGCAATTGCTTTCCCTGTTTTCTTTTTTCAGTGTCCTTGTAGTATCTATCAGCTTTAAGTCCTTAATAGTAAGCTCCTTTGGATAAACAACCCGTCTTTCCTGTTGTTTATTATCTGTCAATGTAATTTCTGGTGTTTTAACTTTTTCTCTTGGACAGCCGTCTTACCAGTGAAATAATGATGATTGCTTCCAAATGGCAGAGGAAGCTTGAGTACAGTATCTCTCTGGTGCCTGGGCTCCAAGACAGACTCCACAACATCCTCTTCATTCATTGACTGCTTGACACTGACTCTGGTTGGCATTTTTCTGCCTGCTAAGCCTTATAAAGCCTCCTGCTTGTGAAGAAAGTGACAGGTTTCAATTTGAATCGATCACTTTCAAATAAGGACTTTGAAATTGGATGCTTTATTTTGCTTTGCATTTGCTGAATTCTGCCTTGAACTGACATTGTGCTCTAGCCACTGTGATTTTCAGGAGGGTTAGTGATGTGCACACTGCTGCATTGCCAAGCTGCCAGTCATTACTTCCTATCAGGCAGATAAAAGAAATGCCTCAGTGCCCACTGTGAGGAAACTGCGGAAGAGACATGAAAGTTAATGAAAACTCTTCTTTTCCAACATTTATGTTTCTTTTTCTCTAAATTCACAGTATTTCACTGCTTTGTTTGAATATGTTTACTTGACCGCAACAGAACAGAAAATTAAAAAAGAAAACACAAAAAAAGGAGCCCTACAAAATATAATTATGTTTATATTGGGCTAATTAAACAGGTTTGTAAGAATATAGAAGGTGAATAGCATGCTGTCATATGTCTTGCACTCACAAAATGTTGATATGGCCATACTTTGTTTCACAGATTTTGTGCCTGCAGTTAGAATTGCCAGGAAAAATGTCATTATCAGTAACTTCAGGGTTATTATGGTGACAGAGCAATTTGAGCTTTAGCATAACAGTCACATTAGCCACATAGAAAAGCACTCTCTCCCATACTGCATAGGCAGTTACCCTCTTTTTGGCATAGAGGGTGGAAGTAATCTTCATTTGGAACCACTGGATACACCAGTGTACTGCTTACATTGTTCAGTATATTTTAAGAGGAAATTGTTCTAAATGCATCCTAATCAGGACCACCAACCAGCTTGTTTCCTTCTATATTCCATATAAAAGTATTTTTTTTTCATAAAATGGGACTGATTTTAGGTGAGAGAAGAATTTCATATAGATATAAGTTAGATTGACAGTGACAGTGTTGACTGTTGAAACAATTACATCAGCCAGGTGGTGGCATCTGTCCTGTGTCACTCTAAAGCCCAGTGCAATGGGCTTAGCAAAGTCTAAGATGAATAAAACAGCATGTCAGTCTCTCTCAAATAATTAAATGGCCTGTACACAGACAGACCATTGCCATTTAAGATATTACCAAGTTTATGGTGTTTTGCCTGGCTGAGGCAACAAAATTATTTTACATTATTAGCATATTTTATTTTTGGGTATATCTTCTGCTGATATCTTCAGCTACTCTTCTGTCTCTACAGCTGAAGATATAGGCTGATGCCCAGTGAAGTATATCTGTACTTCTTGACATATAGTGGTGAAAGAATGTTACACCCTCAGCACTTCTTCCATCATTATATTGTACACTGTTTTTTACAGCATATGCAGTAGGAATCAGCTGGTACAACATGCCCGATACTTATAGGCTAGATTTTGATGACAGCAAATATGAAGAAACAATACAAAACTCTGTTTGAGACTCTGTGTTGGTCAGGTGGGTTGAGACTGCAATATACACACATTCCCTCTTGAGCTGGTACTTTAGATAGCCACAGGGAAAATAAATACAGAACTGAATAATGAAACCAGAAGCTTGGTGGACTGTTAATACCCAAATTCATTTATTTAAATCAATATTAATTAATACTAAATCAACAGTTATACCAATTACAGCACATCAGAATCTCATACTACAGTAAATCTCACACTCTATATACTCACTAGCAAAAATGTACTGAAAGTTATAGTTTTGTAGCAGTCTTGTAACATATACCTCAACTATTGGAATACAAGCTGTGTATCTGTAAAGCATTCTTTGTGCCAAGTTGCAAATACTGACATGATGGGATTATGTCCCATTCCTCTTGTAGAGCCTCGAGAGGCTTATGTCTGTTCACTGGTCTCTGTGCCTTAGATGCAACATATAGTCCCAACCTATCCCACAAATGTCAGTGGGGCTCAAGGCAGGAAAGTGGAGCATCCATGACACAACTGTTCAATTTCAATTTTCACCATGCACAAAAGTTACTGTTGCATGAACAGCATGAAAAAGTGTTGCCTTATTGGAATGTTGCCATATCAGAATGAGCCCATATGAGGGGCAGCAAGGGTTAGGGTTAGGATCAAAGTAGTTCCATCCAGTCAGATTGCCATTAATCACTACAGGTGAAGTTATTTGATATTTGAAGTTACTTGATATGCCTGACCACTCTGTTACTCTAGGACTTTCCCAGTCCACGTGATCTTGGAGTGGTGCAGTGCGTCATACAGTAGTCTTCTAGATTGTTTTCTGTCATTGATGGGATGTGATTAGCTGTAACATTTTGCCAGGTTTTTAATTGTTAGCCATGAACACCCCAAATGTGACAGAGAGCACTGAATACATCTTCAAGATACCTATGACACACAATTGTTGTTTTCTTGATATGTGGGAAATACTGTGACATATATATATTGTAAGTTCTTTCTGGATTTTCATCAGACTTGACATTCAACAGCTAAATTACACCAGTGCTCAATTACTCTCACTAATGAAGTGATTTAGCGTTTAATCTTCAAAGTCACTCAAGTGTTTCACAGGCAGTCATGAATGATCAGTTAATCAAAATGATACCAAAAATATGTAAGCACTTTCCTGTTAGTATCCTTTGTCTTTTTGAAGCACACAAGCATTCAGAACTTTTCATTCTGTGCTCAGTATATTAAGAAACCACAGCCAGTAATGTATTCTTGAGCATTCTAAAGGAGAAAAAAAATGTCAACAGGAAGTGAAAACCAAACTGTGGCTGCCACTGAGTTTGCTTTATATGTTTCTTATATTTTGGCCAGTAAGCTTATGTTACAGTGTTAAACAGGATCATTCATTTTATGAAAGACATGAGTATGGTGAATGACTAAAGCAGTCATGCTGTCATTTTAAACTTTTTTGGTTTATTTCTAACCTTTCTAGTTTATAGAACATGTAGTAAAACTATAAAAGTTTTGTCATGCATTTTATGTTTTGTCATCTTTGCTGGCAGTTTGGCTATTCTTAGTGATGTTGCTGGACAGGCAGAAGGAGGAAGAGGAAGGAGGCTTAACGAAATCTGCAAAATCTTCAGATGACACAGCACTTCAATCCCATATTGAAAACTGCACCACTTCCCTCTTAGTCTATTTATTTGAAATTCATATTAAAAATAGACTTAGTGAGTGCATAGTTAAATTTAATGTTCATTTCTTAAAATGCAGGTAAATTAGGTAATCAGAAATCAAGACAGTACTGTTTTTTCAGCTACTGTACATAAGAGGTAGGTGAGACAAGAGGTATTTCCAGACAGTTGACTTATAGGGTCACACAGCTTCTATTATTTTTAGTTCCAGACTGTTTAACTGATTCCCTTAAACAAAACCTCTTCTACAGTATGCCATCCCCACTTCATGAATAAGTATTTCCTTAGTTTATTTGTATAGAAAGATTTTTGGCTTTTAATGTTAATTATATGAATGTCTTACAGTATGTCAAGTACTGTATATTCTGTATGAACAAACTGAATTATTAAACTAAACATTGTTTCATGGTGATAAAAACATAAATCAGGTTAAAAACAAGAGGAAACCATTTCTCCCATTTCTCTCTGTGTTCTGACAAGCTCCAGGATTTATACATTTAATCTTGAAGGATCCCTATGATGTTGTTCAACAACATAGTCTGTACCAAACTCCCACAATCCACTGTTTAAAGATGAGCTTCATATTTTGAGTCTTAAATGCACTTCCACTTACATCCTGGTGTTCTGCCATGATGTTTGTTTGTGTACTTGGTTGTGACAAGCTTTCAGGACATTGCAATCAAAGCATATATTTTGTGTATGTGAAGTGACACTTCCATTATACATTGGTTCTCTCTTGGTGGAGTGGGGGATCAGACCACATGTGGACTCCAATTCTGTTCCAATAACTATTGTATAATTGCATATTCATCTACAGTATGATCCTTGAAATACTGAAGATGTTGCTCTCATTCTCCTTTTCTATTAATAGAGTTTAGTGAAAGGTGGAGAGCTCACATTAATGGTGTAGATTTAGAATAGCCAAAAAAAAATTGCAATCGGAAAGAGACTCTGCTGGTTATTACTAAGCTTGGAGATCAGGCTGCTGTGGTGTGTTGCAAACATTATTTTGTACCTAACCTAATGAATAGTTGTCCCATAGCACTATAAAAAGAGGGTGCCTACACTGGCATTCATAGTAGCTACAAAGTTGTGTGCAAATTGCAAAATCTGTGGTTCATAGAAGTGAAGTAGAGCATAACACTGCAGCACAATGTTCCTTTATACATCATTCAGATGCACTTTTCTTTGCCTCTCATTTGATATTAATCATGTGTATTCTTTCTTCTAGTATTTAGTATCAAATACTGTACTTGGATTGAGTTTGCCACAGTAAGTACAGTACATGAAAGAAGGAGGGATCTAGACTAGATGAAAAAGTGTGTCAAGGCTAGAATTCCATCTTCAAGGCTCTAACAGTAAAAGCATGATTGTGCTAAGAATGAAAACACTACAACAGTATGGTGTTTTATTATAGTAATTATAGTAGCAATTATAAATTTAATAATTAATTTATCTGCTGAAATCCAAGACATTAAAAATGAATGGGGAAAAATGTGATTTCTGAATTCCTGCACCTCTCATATTTGTGTATGTTTACTTCATAAAAGTGATTATGATACTTATAAAACACTAATATTAACACAGATTATTGTCTTGAAAGCTTTTGTCATTTTGTTTGTTTTGTGTCCCTGCAGGTCATAGTGCAGTTGACATCACGAAGGTGGCGCGAAGACACCGCATGTCCCCCTTCCCCTTAACCTCCATGGACAAAGCTTTCATCACTGTCCTGGAGATGACCCCTGTCCTTAGCACTGAAATCATCAACTACAGAGGTGAGGCAGCTGTTCCTGAAGCCTAGCACAGCAGAGCCATCTCATTAAGGTCTGACTCATTCAGCACTGGGAGCTTTCTTTATACTACTAAATCATGGTGAATAACAGCACCCTTTTTAAGCATTGTGCAGGATTAGACATAAGCAAGAATACACTGTTTGGGTTACTTGATTTATTTGTTTTATTTCCCTTTTTTAATTATGCATATTAATTGAAAAGCAATATTAGAGATAAAAAGATTCAGAAATGTTGAGAGTGACTTACGCAACTTCATTTGCACCTAGTATATTACGCAACCTGTAACATCTCAGTTAGCTGTATCTGTGATCCAACCACTATAGTCGTGTAGTTCGGAATGTGTATTGTACGTTGTTTTACTTTTTTGAAAAATGAGAAAAATATTCCTGATGCAATCAGATCTGCAGTTTGAAAGAGCTGCCATGTTCTTCATTTTCCTTCCTGCCAGGGCATTTAATAGTTACTGTCCTAATGCAAAAGCTCAGCTGCTGTGCTTTAAAAGTGCAATAGAATGATGCAATTATTCTTTTGTGGATAATTAGAAAAAAGCTTATCAAATATGCATGTGTAGCACAGAATACATTGAGATCTTCTGAGATGGGTCAACACCAGTTCTAAATTTTCTGAATTCATCCTCGTGCTTTGCATGTCAGACTGACAAAAAATATTTTTGTCTGTCAGTTTTATGGCAAGGTCTACTAAATTCCTGAAATATTTTCATTTTATTCAACATTAAAGATGAAAACTGATAATTTTTGTAATTTTGGGAAACATCTATCGTGGTTGTAGTGCCTTTGGTAGTGTATCCCCTATCCTGTATGTTGTGTAAACCAATACCAGTAACACCTACTGATGATGACAACTCCTAGGGGATGATTTTTCTCTTCCAGGTCAGAGGGCAAACATTTAGAATTTAAAAACTCAGTGTAAAGCTGTGAAAAATCTTTTCCAAATATTTGACCATAACACTCGTTATGACAAAAACTGACCTAGAAGGACTCTCCATGGGGATTTCTTGCTGGCAGCAGAATAGGGAGCCCCAGCTGTTTTCCAGGAATTGGGTGACAAGCTGAATACCATCAGTGAAAGCTGTTTGTCCAGTGGTTGATACTGAAGCTCTGCTTATTTCAAGAAAAAAAAAAACATGTACCTAGTGAGGCTGTACAAGAGTACTGCTGTGTGTTTCTCTTTACCTTATAATTACAGTATATGGTTCAGAGAGCTTTAAGACAAAAATACACTTAAAGTGTACCTAAAAGCATTACTTAAATAGTGTGTAGATTTCAAGATTGTGTACAGTGTAATATATTGTATTAAATCCTGTCATCCTTAAATAACACCTATGACTGTGCGTGTAGTGTTTTTTATATTACTAGAAGTAACACCTAAGTTTTTGTAGATTTAGTATGTTTCATTAGCCATCTCTTTTAGAGTAGTTCACAGACCACATGCTTCTCTTAACTGAGGAGAGGTTTGCATTCTCTCCTCAAATGTTTTACTTTGCAAAGTATTTTAATGCATAAAAGTTGCTATCATTTAGTTGTTACCAGTTGCTATATTAATGCTATCATTAGCAGCATCCCTTCACTAAATAAAAAAACAGTTTTGTGTTTTTCTAGTCTCTTTATGCAGACATTAATGTTCTATCTTCAATAATTAAAGTGCTATTTCTCAGTCTAATTTCATCTGCCATTTGTCAAAGAAATAATATTTCTTTTAGATTAATATTATATCGTGAATACCCAGACCTCAATTGGTAGTTCACATACTGTATATCCATCCAGTACATGATTACAGATAGAACTTCCATCCTGCATCCTGCATGGAGAGATAGTGGTATTTACTGACCAAAATTCAATGAAAAGTCTTAGCCTGAAAAATATGATGAAGGAACAATGCCAACAGCCAAGTTCTCCTTCACCTCTGGTACTCTAACTTGTCATCCTCTGTGACATCACATCTAGAAAAGCTATAAATATCATAGTAAACTCTCTTGCATTTGATTAGCCAGTGTAATTTTGATTGTTTACTTCCTACCCATTCTTTGCTGCTGTATCCTCTTCATGAACTTTTCCTTTTCACGATGAATAATTGGATCTTCTGCTCTGACAACAACCTTTTTGGACACATGGATATTCTTTGGGTCCACGTGACCAGCTTACCACCACATCTTCTTCATCATTACTCCATCCATGTCAACTGCCTCTTACTCACAACCAAGCTTTGCTGTCAGGTTAGCTGTCTCAAGCTTCCCTGCCTTGCTGATTGAGGTTAGCTGTTTTTATCCCTTTACCTACCAGGCAAATGAGAAATTTGGCCAGGACGCCGGGGTTACACCCCTACTCTTTTCGAGAAACGCCCTGGGATTTTTAATGACCACAGAGAGTCAGGACCTCGGTTTTACGTCTCATCCGAAGGACGGCACCTGTTTACAGTATAGTGTCCCTATCACTATACTGGGGCATTAGGACCCACGTGGACCACAGGGTGAGCACCCCCTGCTGGCCCCAATCTAGTAGTCAATCTGTGTTTTAAATAAATACCACCAAAAAGTTTTCATTATTTTTAAGCAAGTAATTGCTTTCTCTGCCCATTTGTCTGATCTTCCGCCTTTTTCATCCCTTTCTATATATGCATTTCATTCTCTATCTGATCCATGTTGTTATGCTTAAAGCCACAGTCTAATTCTTTCTTCCGTGGTACTAAATATAATTTATGCTCTCTCATCTGCCTCTGTTCACAGTGTTCTATCGAGCCCTAAATCAGCATTTTTTGTTTCTCCGGCCCAGGTTTTAATCTTATATGTCTAATTTAAATAATCTTATATATAATTTGGGTTCTCTGTACTGGCTAAACTTTTACTACAGTCCCCAGTGTCCTGTTCTGCTAAGTTCCAAATCATTGCGTGCCTTTGGGCTTTCATTCTTCTAGCCACTACTGTGCTTGACATCACCTTTTAGTCTTGCGTTTGTCTGGTATCCTACCCTCAGTCACTACATGTCCTACAAACTCTGTTGTTCTTCCTGTCCTACAGCATCCAACCTAGCACAACCTAGCACAAGAGTAATCCCCCATTCCTGAGTCCACCACCGCCATGATAATTGAGAAAAAATATGTCTCCTCTTCTGTTCCTAAATATTCTGTCCTTTTCTTTCCACTCCTCTTCTGAGCTCCCATTTTCTCTTCCATTAGTTTTTGTACACGTCTTAACCTCTATTCTCACTCCACTTTCCCAGACCCCTAGATACCTCCTATATAATAATTTCTCAAATTCCTCCATTTTGCAGGTCCTCCCACGACGAAACTTATTTTGTTTTCTCCATGGCCATTTCTCCCCCTTGCTCTTCCAATGCCATGATGTTTAACCCACATCGTGTTTCTTTATTGCAGGTGTAGATTACAAGATGCAGGCATTCATCTTGCTCATCTCATCAGTCATTCCAGTGATTCCTTAACAAAGCAGTTGCTCCTCCACACCTCACTTTCAGTATGTTCATGGATTCCATAATGTGATGCCTCAGGATAGCTTGTTCTAACAGCTCCCAGCAGCCTGTCAAGGCATTCCAGCGGGCAATACTTATATCAACTATCTCAAAAAGAGTAGGGGTGTTACCCCAGTGTCCTGGCTAAATTTCCCTCCAAACTTTTTCCAATCAAGGTCTACTAATAATCCCCATCTTATTTATTCTGTTCTCCCCCCCCACTAATCACTGATCTGCAGTGAGCATACTCGTGCATTATGGCTGCAGTCAAAAAATCCAGGTTGGCACTACACATTTTGGTGGTGCCATAGCCCTTAAGCACTTTGAGCGGAGTATCCAGGAAAGCACTATTATTATTGTTGTTGGTGTTGTTGTCTCATCAAATATCTCATCCACTGCTCTATATAACATAAAAGACAAGATGCTACCTGAAGAGACCACAGAACCACAAACTGAAAAATAAAATCTATAGGCAAGTTTCATACTATGATTGATACTTTACTTTGTGCTTGCAGAATGTTACCTGTACAATCTGTAAAAATTACTTTATTTAAAATAGGACTGAAATGGACTCTCATATTCTAATATGATATATTATGTATATAATGTAAAATATATTTATCTCCACACAGTCTGAATTTGCTCCATAAAGTTATCATATTTCCCACTGTGGGGGTTTTGTGCATTTAATGGGACAATTTTTAATTGTAGCAGTAAGTCACAAAATGATTTTTTGATGGCTATTAGAAAACCAACCGTGCGGGATAACTCAATGCACACACACGGATACTAATACATGAGAATACATTTATTAATATATAAAATGTGCATATAAACATAACAGATCTTAAGAGTGAGGGTTAGCAGAATACAAAAGGTATATATTCAATCACAAAGAGTTACAAACCAAGAGGGACATACATTCAGTATATACCATTCATTTATACAGTTTCGTAAATGAACTTTGATTACAACTTCTACGCTAGATACTCAAAGGCAAGTACATCACTCATAGGAATTAAATTGATATCAACTCAGGTTGAGGTAATAATTGAATTCTCGAGCTGTAATGAAAAGGTTGAATACTCATCCAATCTGTGTGGATTCAGATCTCCCGCGGACACAAGGGAACAGTGGCAGGGTGTCCTCTGGCCCGGTGCCAGGCAGTCCTGGTTCGGCGTGAGGTGGGGGAGAAGGAGGAAGAGATTCCTGCTACGACCCGCTGGCAGTGGGCTCTCTGAAGACGGGCTAGTTAGTGTTGGCTGAACTAGCAAGAGTTTGTGCACATGAAAAGTGACTGCGGGTCCAAGCATGTCACACTCTTTAGACGGGAAGAAGACCGGTTCGTTCCCGATGTAGCGCTAGTCCTGAATACTGAGATTCAGTTGTCGACAATTCCAACCGTAGTTCACTCTTTGATCAGGCGAGCGTTCTCGGTGGGGTACCGTCGGTTCACGAGGCTTGCTGCTGGGCTAACCTCGGGCGGATCCTTCGATTATG